CACTGTAAAATGAACCCATCTTTTGGGATTGGTAATTACTGTCTCACCGTCTTTCCTTAGTCATCATTGCTGGGTCTATTGACCAGTCCCTGACTACCTGCCACCTAATGATCTGGCCTTCATGTCCCCTCCCTGCTTCTCTCCTAGTGTCATTGCTGAAGGTGACTCCTTTCGCTCCACATTGAGCTTCAGCTTTCTAACCATGGCTCTGTGCCCACAGCCGCTTTGATATTCCTCATTCATGCAGTTGTCATACCTGTATGTGCTCAGTGCTAAGGGCAAGCTGACCTTTCCACATCACGGTGACTTAAGCTGCATCTGAGCAGTGTGCCACTGAAGCCGCCTCACCTCCCATCCACTCAGTTCATTCTTTTCCATTCTCTGAAGTTAAGAGACCAACCCACAGAAGTATCTGGAATTCTGGTGTAAAACAGATGAGGTGGTAATCCTGACTGCCATTTACTAACCTAGCCTGTGTGTGTCCTCATCTGTAAAATGTAATATTGCCTACCATGTTGGAATCATTAGGAATTTTAAATCAGCTAACATGTTCTAAACATCTAGAACAGTACCTGTCACATAAGTAGGTACTAAATATTAATCTGTTCCTCCCTGAAAATTTCCTTAATTCATTGGAACCAAATAGGAATTCACATGTTCTCTGAACGTCACTCATGCCCATTAGTGGTGCACCATGGTTTGTGTTTGATGATAATCTAGACTCTTCTCCTCCCAAGATACTGCTCTGTGAATTGTCCCATGAGTTTGTTTGTGCCTTACCTCTTGGGATTTCTAATGTACAGGCTTATTGTTGAGACAGCTAGCCAGCCAGGAGTTAAATCACCTGTGACCTGTGTGGGAATTGAACCCATGAGCCAATCAAATGAATGTCTTTGAGGACGGAAAAACTAAACCCATTGCCATGAAGTCAGTTCTAAATACATGAAACTCTAGGGTTTCAGAGTATAATTGCACCCCATAGGCTCTTTGATGACTGATCTTCTGGAAGTAGATCACCAAACCTTCCTTTCAGTTAGGAGTTGAGTGCAAAGAATGTGTGCTAGACCTGCCGTAAATACGGGCATCAGCACACCCCCACTTACAGTTGCTTTTGTTTGTTTTTAAGCATACTAGTGCACTTTCTTTTTTCATCTTTCAAGTATCTTGTTATGGTTTGTGTAAGAGTTTACAAAGCACATTAGTTTTCCACTCCACTAATTTATGTTAGTTGCAGTCCTTCAGTGTAACAGTGCTTCTCCCATGTCCTCCCTGGCTTCCCCCTTTCCATTCATCCATCTTTCCTGTCCTTTCCTGTCGTCTTGGTTTGGGGGCACATGCTGTCCTGTTGGTTTCATGTGCTTGACTTGAGGAGCACATTCTGAGCACGGTGCTCACAGATGTTATTGTACACTTTATAGGTCTGTCTGTTGTTTGACTTGAAAGGCAATCTCGGTGGCAGGTAGATCCAGGTTTGAAGGGCATCTGAGGGCCATAGTCTTGGGGATTCCACCAGTGTCCACCAAAACAGTAAGTTTGGTGTTTTTGAGTTTGAATATTGTTCTGTATTTTTCTCCTACTCTGTTCAGAGCCTTCTTTTGTGATCCTGATCCGAGTGGTTGGTCACGGTGCTGTTCAGAGCCTTCTTTTGTGATCCTGATCCGAGTGGTTGGTCATGGTGCTGTTCAGAGCCTTCTTTTGTGATCCTGATCCGAGTGGTTGGTCATGGTGCTGTTCAGAGCCTTCTTTTGTGATCCTGATCTGAGTGGTTGGTCATGGTGCTGTTCAGAGCCTTCTTTTGTGATCCTGATCCGAGTGGTTGGTCACGGTGCTGGGCACCATCTGGTTTTTCCTGTCTCAGGTTATTGGAGGTTGTGGTGTATGTGGTCCATTATTATTTGGATTAATTGTTTCCTTCAGTCTTTGGTTTTCTTCACTCGTCTTTGCTCCAGACAGGAAGAGACCAGGTGTTGTATCTTAGATAGCTTTTCACAAGCTTTTAAGACCTCAGTCATTACTCAGCAAAGTAGTATGTAGAACATTGTTTTTATGGACTACGTTATACCAGTTGACCTAGATGTTCCCTGAGACTGTAACCCTAAGCCCTCAAGTCCAGTAACTGAGTCCCTCAAGGTGTTTGGGTATGGCTGAGAAGTTCACCTAACTTTGCCCCCTGTCTGTTCTACTGTATACCTGGATCATTTTCATTGATTTTTAGAGGAGTTCTGGGAGGTGGGCAGATCCTCTTTCCACAGAAGAAAACAATAAGACACAGAAAGCAGTCATAATACGTTTCACACCAGTAGCAATTGGTAGAACCAGGGACTAGAACATAACCCTAACCAGGACTTCTGTGTAATTTTAATGAGAGTCGAAACCTTGGCTTGTTCAGATGAGTGAAGGTTGTGAGCTCTAGCATAGATTCTTCTAGCTCTAGGGTATACTTTGTATCCTTTGTTAATGAACTGTTCATTAGTTTATTGGTTCAGTGACTAAATACTGAGAGTGTACCATGTCAGATTCTATAGGCACTGAGGATACCACCAGGAACTGGAGGCCAGACCCCTTACCATGCCCTGATGGAGCTTAAATTCTAATGGTAGGAAATAGACAATCAACACATAATTAGAATATAGAGCATGGCTGTAAAGAATGTCAGACAGTGATGAGTGCTCGGCAGACAGAAAGATAGGTTGGGGGTGGGAACACGGTGGTTTTCTCCTGATTCTTTGTGCTGTTGTTGCATCCATGTGATAAACTCTCTTGCTGATCCAGCACACCCCCTTACAGGTTCCTGCATTTCAAGGCTTCTGAGCTAGGTTTAGGGATGTAAGTGTAGGGATGTCTGCTGGCCCAAGGCTGCCCTCCAATAGTTTGGCTACCCTGCAGTACTATTGGTGGCTGGGGAGGGACCTGGTGGGACTGGTTTTTCTTAGACTGTGGTACTGTGGTATAAAGCACTGTCTGAATTATAAGGTCGACAGTTCAAGTTCACCAGCCACTCCTGGAAAACCCTATATAGGGTTGCTGTGAGTCGAAACTGACTGGGTGGCGCTTCGCATAACATCACATAACAGTTCTTAAATGGAGAGCTCCCCCTGCTGTTAGAATCTGGAACAGGCTCCAAGCAGAACCTCTAAGACGCTACAGTTTTCCCTAATTGTATGATTTTACCAAAAAAAAAAAATTTTTTTTTCCTTAATAAATACTGTTGGGACGTTTCTTTTGGTACTGCTGTTGCTGAGGCCCAGCCCACTATGGAGGAGAGGAAGCACAGAGCCCAGACAGGATAGGGTCCTATCTGAGCTCTTACTACTTTTAGCGGCTCCTTAGCCCTACATGCATGACCACAGCTATCAGCCCAGAGAAATTATCTCTTAGCACAGTTTCACAGCTGCTCAGAGTTGGAGGGCAACAGAAGTGAAACTGACCACAGTCTTGCCAATTTCTCTCTTATTGCTACTGTTCCCTACTGAAGTGAGTCAGGCCTTCCCCCTCATCCTCCAGCTCCAAATTGCCCTTTATCCTCATAGCCAAAGTCTGAAAAGAAGGAGACAGGCCCTGTATTTGCAGAACAGCATTTCTGGGGGTCCTCGGCTATTTGCTGGCATTGAGAGTGTGGTCTGGGTGGCTCTGACAAAGGCTGCAAGCTGCAAGGAGCTTGTCTTGTCAGCAGCTGGTTGTGCATGCTCACCAGGGTCAACTGTATCATGGCTGTGTGGTTCTTCCAGACCTTCCAGATGAAATTCAAGTTAATTTTAGCTGAGAGAGGAAGGAAACGGTACCTGAAGGGCAGTCTTTTGGGTTTTACTGCACCGTGGGAAGAGTGTTGGCCCCTTTATGATTCATGGTGAGGTTTGAGAAGGAAGATGCCCCAGACCTGCTCCTCCTCCAGCATCCAGCAGGTGTACTCTTGGAGGTTGAGGATGAGGCTGAGGGCTGTGCCCCAGACAGTCCAGGAATGGTCCAGGGTGTGGTTTCAAGTTGTAGTCCTAACTGCTTCACGGTGTCCAAGCATAGGCTGTGACTCTTCCCAGACTGTATTAATGGACCAGTGATCACAGAAAAGACGTGCTTACTCATTTCCTCCCTTCACTGCTGCTGATACTAATTTGTTGTTGTTAGGTGCCATTGAGTTGGTACCAACCCATA